ATCTCATTTCTTGCCTGGGAGGCAGGTATCATTATCCCCATTTTACAGAAGAGGAAACAGGCTCCAAGCAGCATGCCCAAAGGTTGCACAGATCAAAGGTAATAGAGCTATTATTTGAATCTAGGTATTCTCTGCTTAAACCACTCCCCTATCCTGGGGGAAGGGTGGGCAAGGGGTTCTCTTGCAGAGCGCACCTATCGCCTGAGTCTGGCATGGCAGAATCAGGTCTGTTTTGAAACTTTGGAAGACACCTGCCTTCCCACCTGCCTCTTCAAGGGGCCTCTCCCCAAAGATTCCTCAGAGGTGAGCTCCTCTCTGCTCCTGACAGAAGTGGCTAGCAGTAGTGAAACCAATGGGGAATGTCTTCTGCCCTCCTGTCTTCCTGGCCACCCACAGCTGCCCGTTGCCCAATTGTCATTTGGCTAGTCCAAGAACTCTTAGCAGCTAGAGCAGGCCTGATTTCCTGGGAGGCTCCCCCCTCCCCACCCACCTCCTTCTCTCTGACGCCATCCTCTCCTTGAACCCCCTGGACCTGCTAGCCCAGCAGCCACACGGGGCTACTCTGGTACCCAGGTCCTCCCTGGCAGATGTGGACACCTTGGCCTTCCAGCCTGGGCGCCTGCTCCGGGCAAGTGGATCCAGACATCTCCCCTGGAGTCGGGGGAGGGTTAATTACAGGCGCTGGGGCATTGTGATTAAAGCCTTTGACCAAGACGATGGCGAAGAGAGTCTTGGTGTTCTGAGTGTGTACATGTCCACGAGATCGAGTGCATGGACATATTGCTGTGTATGTGAGCGTGTGTGGATGCGAGAGCACTTTTGTGTGAGTGTGAGCATGGGTGTGCCATACTTGGCAGTGTGGAGTCAGCCTATGAATGTTTGAACATTCCACTTCTGAGCCTTAGTTTGCTCATCTGGAAGGTGTATAAACCTACTTCCGAAGGTTATTGTGAAGATCAAATAAGGTCATGCATGTAAACCGCGTAGGCGATGACTATGAAATGCACTTGTTAAATCTCAACTGTTATTTACAGTTACCGGGCAGCCAGAGGAAGTAGCAGGAGGGTGTGGTGTGCACAGGGTGCCTCATGTAGTGTGTGTGTGTGTATGTGTGTGTGTAGTATATGGGATAGATGAGTGTTTTGCATAATGAGTTGGACCCTCCAGGCTATGGACGCTGTGTGGTGAGTGTAAGACTTCATGTGTGCTATATGTAAGACCCTGTCTGTACATGCTTGTTACATGCCCTATATGTTTAGCATGTGACTAGAAGATATGCCTCAAGAGGGCAGGGATGTTTGCAGAAAACAAGCAATGTCTGACATATTCAATAAACCTTCGCTGAGTGAATGCACTAATGAGTGAACGAAGGTGTTGACAAGTGTTATTATGTTGGGTGAACATTTCCATGTGTTGTGTTGGTTGGTCCTTTGTGTGGCCCATCTGGGTTTCCACGCATGGCCCTGCAAGGGTAGAACCACGTGTTGGGGTGCGGGCAGGCCCTGCTGGCTGTGGGCTGTGGGCCTGGAGGTATGTGCCCAGCTGGGAGCTGAGAGTGCAGAGCTGGGTGTCACTCATCTATGACACGTGACATGAGAAGAGGCCTGTCGGAAGGGGTGGTGTGTGAGGTGGCAGGAGGGTGTGGAGTGGGGGCAGCTCCTTGGGCTTTAGTCACTCACCTGGTGACACACCCTTCCCTCTCTTCCTGTCTGGACTGGAGTCTTCCCCGCTGTGGGTGACTGGATGCTGAGAAGGAAAGTTCTTTGGTGAGTCTTATAAAACGTCATTGAAAAGAGGTATTTATAGTGACATAATAAGCCCTAATGGAGATGGAATAACCCCATAAAGGCCCCAAAGAGCCCTCGGGGCCTGAGTGCCACTGCAACGAGCAAGGCTTCCCATCAGAGACAGGTGGTGGCTGAGTATGTCTGTGCAGTTGCTCAGGCCTCACCTGCCAACCCCCACCTCCAGCCCACCAGCTGGCTCAGGGGCCCAGCTCTGGTAGGACTTCTTCTGGGGCCTGCGCAAGCAGATAACAAAGATAAACATGGAAGCAATTGTTCCACCCACCCCACCTTTGTTCTGTGCCTCAGTTTAGCCAAGGGGGTCAGAAAAAAAATCATTTAGCCAATGCTTATAAAGTGCGTACTATGTGCCAGGCCCAGTTCTAGTCACCTATATTGCCCCCTTTAGTTCTCATTTGACCCTCCTGTGGTGGGCACTGTTACTGTCCCATTTTGCAGAGGAACAAACTTTCTCATGAAAGTTGGAACTAGCATTCTAGCCCAGGCTGCCTGCATCTGGCACATACCCTCACAGGCACCCCTCTTGCCTGCTGTCTGTTGAAGCACCCAGAGAGCCATCATCCCCCCCACCCTCCCCACGGTGATGTGCCTGCTTTCTGCCACCAGAGTCATCAAGGCCAGTCTAATGATTACCTAGTAGGTGAAGCCCCAGGAATCAGGCCCTCCCTCAAGCCACAGGAGCCCCCATACTGCATGCCTCCCAGGGCATGGCCTCAGCCAGCTGAACTCTCTTGTCTCCTGGAGCCTCTGAACTGTCTCACCAACTAGACTGTAAGCTCCCCAAAGCTGGAATGAATCTGACACCCTTTTGCACTGCTGGCACCAGCTAGAACAGTGCCCTGCCCACAAGAGTCACTCAATAGAGCTCACATTTGATGGTGATGCTCTAAATCATCACCACCCCCAGCCACCCTTCCCTTTAATTCACATTCTTGAAGGCCTACTATGTGCCAGGCCACTTTCACTTATGTGAATGTGTTAAATCCTCCCAGCAGCCCTCGAAGGAAAGGCTAATATTGTACCCATTTTGCAGGAGAAGAAAGTGAGGCACAGGGAAGGGCATTAACTTACCTAAAGCCACATAGCTCAGACAGAACAGGGGTAGAACTACAAAGTTAAGCGTGTCACACCCCCAAGCCCAGCCTACTCACTCTTTCTTGGCCCAGGCTGTATCCTCTCTGGATGCCTTTCCACCTTGGTGACTCCCCATTCTTTAAGACCTCCCTTGAAGCAACATAGGAGAAGGAACGCTGGGACCCCCAGATGTGGAAGATGCTTGGTCTAGAGCGTGCACCACAACAGGCTCAGAGCATGAATGCGTAAGTGAATGAATGAGTGGTGGGTCCAGCAGACCTGGATTTTGCCACTTAACAATTTGTGTGGCCTTGGGCAAGCCTTGGGCAACCTCAGCTGGCTTGTCTGCAAAATGGGCATGATAATAATGGTTTCCATTCTCCGAGACTGCTGCTGGGCTTACCTGAGATTATCTATGTAAAGCCCTTTGCACACGGTGTCTGGCCCTCAAGGAGTGTACATTAAATTGGAGCTATTGTTACCTTCACAATCAAAAGTCACTCCTGAAAAGCCAGCTGGACTCCCCCAAAACAAACCGATCCTCTCACCCTGGAACAAACCTCAGCCCTCACACTGTGTCATAATCACTCCCACCCTGCCTCGCCTTGAGGCAGGGAACCCCTTGAGGACAGAGACCCAGTTTCATTCCATCTCTCCATGCCTGAGGAAGCTCAGTACTAGGCGGGTGCTAGGACCACATCTTTTTGAAAAGAACACATTCCCCAGTTGCAGCTGCAAAGTGGGGCTTGGTGTACAGCTTTTCAGGTGAGGCTTTGGGGGTGAGCTTGTCTGAGCAGAAGTTTTGTTGGGTACCTCTCCCTACAATGAAGTGGTTTGAGGCTGGGGGAGGGCGAACTTAAATGTGGGCTCCCATATTTGTAGGGGGACAGTGGGGGAGGAAGACCCCATAATTGCGGGGCTTCCCCCACCCCCAGAGTTAGGTTGGAGGCTGTGCTGCTTCCTTTGGGGCTTGCTCAAGCTTCCTGGGACCCTTTGAAGTGGGTTCCGGGCAAATCCTGCCCCTAGGGCCTGGATATGGGGCGGGGCCTCAGCCTCAGCCAGCAGCTGGGGGCTCCAGCACCAGGGTAGTCTGGGCGCCTCCATCCTGCCCACCTCTTAGATGCAGATGCCCCTCCTTGCTCAGCCTCCCCTTTCCTATCAGGCCACATCCTCCTCCCCTTCCAGCTCTCCTTAGACAACCACTCCTGGAAGCCTCACCTGGCCAGCTGAGACTACAGGCCCTTCTCCCTTCTCTGAGTGCCAGTCTTTAACGGGGTTGTTTAAAAATCAAAGCCCTGATTACCTGCCAGGCCCTGAGCCCAGAGCTTTGTAGCACAGCCTCATCTCATGCACACAAGCACCCTAACAAGTATGGCTTCTACCCCCATTTTACAGAGGAGAACTTTGGGATTCAGAAGAGTCAGAGTCATTTGTTCAAGGTCAGGGGCCTGAAAGGACCAAAGTATCTCTAAAGCCCTTGCTCTGACCCCTGCAACCCTACCCCGCCAGCTGCCCTTGACCATGGCTAAGGGACTAGTCACAGCATGTCCAGTGAAATGGAATCTTAGGGGCTAAAGTCCAACCTCTGTATTTTATAAAGGAGGAAACTGAGCCCACAGAGGGGAAAGGACTTGCTGGAGGTCGCAGAGACAGTGTGAAGGCTAAATTCTGGCCTCCTGACACCGAGCTCCGTGTTCTCATCTTTTTGGTTAATCATTTCTCCTGTCCTTGCGGTGGCATCCAAAGGCTGTCAGCCACATGGAGGGTGCTTCATCACAACTTTTGGAAAAAGTAGAACTGGAAAAATACAGAAATGGGGTGGCAGCCCCCACCCCAGCCCTGGACTCCCCATCTCTCTTCCTTGCCATAGTTTTCTCCATTGCACTTGCCACCAGCTGCCACCCTCTACATATGATTGTTCATCTCCTGTCTGTCTCCCCCAGCACCCCCATTAGTGTGGGAGCCCCAAAGGAGCCAGGTTGCTGCCTGCTTTGTCCCTGGCACACATCCCCCAAAAATCTGACATTGAGCTTTGTTGAATGAATGAACAATGTGGTAGCTCCTGTCGACCTTAAAAATAAAACAGCCAATTATTTTACCAGCAAAATGGGTTTATTCAGGAATAACAAAGAATTGCAATTTGGGACAAGCAAACTATAGCAAAAGCCACAGGCGAGTCTAAGAAGCAAAGGAGAAGATGGAGAAAATAGGAAAAGTTGGGAGGGGTTGTTTTGAGCGAAAGTCCATTGGCTCAGTGGTGAGGGTTCGGGTGGTGATGGATTCTCATGGGCTGAGTTGCTGGGCAAGAAGAGAAATCTCCTTTCCTCCTGCTGGAGTAGTAGAATCATTTTTCTTGGCTTCCAAGGTGAGTCTCTTCCTGTGGGGTCTGTAAGTGACCGGGAGTGGTAGTGAGAGCTCCCCCTTCTGGCCACCTGACCCCATTTTAAGTGAGGTTTCCCTTTATTACATTTTCACACTTTCCACCACAGTGGTACTGAGAACTCACACAGTGTGATCTAGACTAGTTACTTCTCTCTTTCCCTCACTCTCCTCATCAGTACGCTGGGGGATGACAGCGGCTCCCCCTCTTGAAGGGTGTGAAGACAGCACAGGTCACCACATGCCAAGCACAGAGCTCAGCCTCACCGAGGGGCTCAGGATGAATTCTGAAGACAAGGACTAATGGGACTCCCAGGGGTTTCTCACTGTTGCTGGAGGCGGACCCCCTCGGCCCCTCCGCTGCGGCCCTGGCACCCTGGCCTGCCAGGTGCTTTTCCTACATCATCTTAGTCCATCCTCATAATGAACAGCATGTTCCCCATTTTACAGGCAAGGAAACTGAGGCCTAGACTGATGAAGTGACCTGCTCAAAGTCACACAGGTCATTGCAAAGCCCAGATATGAATCTAAGCCCCTCTGGCTGTATGGCTGCCAGGGCTACTTGGCTAACTATGTGGCCCGAGAGATCAGTTTTGTCTTTTCTCCCCCCTGGTCTCCTCCCTGCTGGGTTCTGATGACCCAGCCTGACAGCCAGGGGGCCCTGCGTGGGTGTGGGAGGGAGCATCTGGCTGTGGGTGGCAATGGGCTTAAGGCGCATTTCTGGCTTCCCACCACCACTTACTGTGAGACAGGGTGAGAAGCCTCACCTCTTGGAGCTTCTGTTTTCTCCTTAGTCAAGTGGGGATAAAAATAATATAATAGCCACCTTGTGGGGGGAGCCATGAAAGTGTGAAAAACTCTTGGCATAATGCCTGACACATGGTGAGCCCTCTGTCAATGCCAGCGGTGATTATTTTTATCACTGACACCATATTTGGGGGTAGGGCTGGCACAGTACCTGCCAGGTGCCACCCCCCTTCCTGAGTCTTGACAGTTGGTAGAGGCTCCGTAGGAGGAAGGGAGGAAGGGTAGGGAAGCTGCCTGGCTTGTTTTCTGACAACCTCCAAGTCTGACCCCAGCGCCTTCCCCTCTGTCGGCGCTAACAGCACACGGGGCCCATTCACTGGGAGCCCTGCCCCAGGCCCCCTTCCTGCCATGCTCCCTGGATAAACCCACCAGGACCCTATCCTACCCCTGAGGAGAGGGCAGGGACCCCACAATTCAGGCCCCCATTCCCATGCCCATCAGTTTGTGTCCTCACATGTCATCATATGCTGGGAAGTGCTGTAAACATGTCCACGGCCCCAGCACCAGCGTGGCACATGCCTGTGCACACATGCACGCCCATCCTTACCCAGGCACACTGGTCGCAGGCTCTGTAGGGATCACCTTGGGACAGGACGGCTCCTACCCCAGCCCACCCCTTCCCCTCCTTTCTGTCCTGTCTCCATCTGTCTATCTCCATCAACTAGTCCCTTTTCCCAGCTCCCCGCCCCTCTGTGAGTCCATCTGTCTGTCTGTCTGTAGCCAGCCCAACAGTGAGCAATCCATCCTCACCCAGCCCTGCGCACCACCTCTGCCCCGGCCCCCCTGCAGGACTCAGCCTCCTCGGCAGCGTCTCTCATCGCTTGCCCTCCCCCGCCCCCTCATCGGTCTCCCTCCCTGTCATCCGTCCATCTCCTTCCTTCCACCATGTGCCCACCCCCTCTCAACCCTCTCTGGGGCCCATCCATCACTTCCCAGGCAGCCCTGCCAGCCCAGGTAGTCACCTCCTGACAGCTCTTTTCTGTCTGCCTGTCCGCCAGCCCATCCATCCATCTTTCTGCCATCCTATCTATCATGCCACAGCCACTTGTCCATATTTGCCACCATTCACATATCCCCCGGTAGGGCCCCCTTTGGTGCCCCTTAGCCAGCTCTGGGTGGGGTGGGGGTGTGTGTGCATGTGTCTGTGGACACACACGTGTTCACATCTGTAGGTATCTCTGTGACCTCTGACATGCACTGTGCTGAGCAGGAGGGGACCAGGGATCTGGGCACAGCCCTAGTGTGTGTGTGTGTGCGTGTGTGGTGTGTGTGTGTGTGTGTGTGTGTGTGTGTGTGTGTGTAGAAGCTGGGAACATTGGTGGGGGCCGAGCAGAGAGGGGTTGAGTATTTTACTGTGCATTCTTCCTGTGAGCTGTTTGCATTTCTCACCATATGCATCAATGACCTATTCAAAAATAAATACATAATTTGAAAAAAAAATCCAGCCTCCTTTTTGTTTCTTAAGTGTGGCTAGACCAGTGCCCCCGTGGGCGTGGGCGCAGGCACCTGCGCTGCTCCCTCTCCTCTTACTGCCGCGGAGAGACAGAGACGCGGGGAAACCTCCCCCGGGAGCCCAGAAACCCCGGGAGGGGCACGGCCACGTGGAGCGCAGGGCGGGGAAGACGGCGGGACAATAGGCCCGGCACTGCCCGGGAGGAGGGCAGGCGGCAGGGGCCACCTGCCCAGGGAGGCCGGGCCGCAGCACCCCCGCCGTCTCGCACCCGGGCTGCCCTGGCTTCCGGCCCCCGCAGGTGCCGCCTTTGAGGGTTGCCGCATGCGGTTTACGACCTGGCCAAGCCCCTTCCCCGCTGCGAGGAGCAGCCTCTACGCCTCATAAAAGGGGTCAGGGGCCCAGGCAGGGACGGCCTGTCGCCGTGGAAACAGGGAGGGCTGTGGGGACAGCAGCAGGGGACAGCGCGTCCGCGGGGCAGGGGGACGACAGGCGCTCCCGTGCGCGCTTTGCACTTGGTTTGCTTGTCCCGCTCGGGCCCCTGCCGCCCCTCTTCCCTCCTCAAGCCCCCCACCCCAGCCCCCTTTAAAAGTCATCTCCTCCAGAAAGCCTCCCACAGCTACCACCTGGCCTGGTGGCCTCCTTGACTCTTCCTAACAAATACTAATTAACAACACCCACAGTTAGCATTCGCTGAGCTTCATCTCGGTGCCAGGCACTGGACTCCATGCCCCACATCCATCCTCTTCCGTCCTTCTACCATGCCTGTAGGGAAGGCAGGCAAGAAAACCAAGGCTGCCATATGGTCAGCTCAAGGTCTCAGAGCTGGAGAACTACCTCCTCCTTCTGGCCTCAGTTTCCCCACCTGTCAAAAGGGAAGGTTGCACCAGGGGCTTGCCAACTGACCAGCCAAGGGCAGGAGCTAGACCACAGACTTGTCTGGGTTTGGTGGGCTGAGAGTAAGCATCCCGACTTCGAAGGCCTTTAGCCTAGGCATCCACGCCCCTCCAGGGAGTCCCACCCTTGTGATCTCCAGGCCAAGCCCCTGCGACTCAAGAGACATCTCTAAGGGGCCTCCCATCTCTCACCTTCCGAAGAATCTTAGATGATGAGGGGGAATTGCTGTACTGCCTCCCACCTCTGACTGGGTGCCGGGTTGGGGGTGCCTCTCCCAGTAGACTGGGAACTCCTAAGGGTCAGTACATGTCTGCCACTTCTCTGGGACTGTGGTCACCAGAAATGCACAGACCCATGTGGCTGAAGGGGGTTGACTGCAAATGTCCATGAACAACCACATCCTGGGGGCTCCCCCAGCCCCTCACCTTGCCCCTGAGATCCGGGACCCATGGGACTGGGTTACCGGTGAGAAAATTCAGGCTCTGCTTTGGAAACAGACAGCCTCATTCTGGAACCTCAGGTCTTTCCCCAACACAGAGTCAGAAGAGGGGAAAGGGGCCCAGGGACTACCTCCTGGGCAGCGACCATACCAGGATCATCACCCCCTCTGCCAGTGAGCTGTGTGCCCCTCAGCTCTTGATCATGGACAACAGCCCAGTCAGCTGCTTATTTTCAGCCCCTTTTATGGATGGGGAGGCTAAGTTTCAAAGAGGAAAAGTAACTTTATTAAGATCATCCCCTGATAAATTGCAACCCCATTCTTTACCCAGCACCTTGCTGCCCCCTCTGTCTCCCAGCACACCTCATACTGACTTGAAACTGGCTATTGACACATCACTGGTATCGGGTGAGTATTTTGAGGAAAGGTAGGGAACAGGGTTTGGTTTGGTTTTGTTTTAAATCTAATTCCCCAATGCCCCGTTCAAGGCCTGAAACATAACAGGTTTGTTGAATACACCTGATAGTATCTATTGTCTTCCATACTCCAGATGGGTCATGCTTCCCCAAGTCAATTGGACCAGAATTTATTGAGCATCTACTATATTCTGGGCACTTTATACACATCACATTTCATATGGAATCACCCCCTGCCCTGTGACTTCTAAGTGACTATTCATATCCCCATTTTACAGACAAGGAAATTGAGACTTAGGGACAGAGTTGGCATTTGAAGCTGGATTTACATGTCTTTCACATACAACCTGCTTAATTGTCAGTTCCCTGGGAGAGAGGGCAAAGAGAACTGAGCCTGTGGAATCTGCCTGGGGCCTGGCTGACTTAGGGATCCACACCAGGATGCTGCTGGTGACCCCTTGGATGTCTGGGAATACTGCCACAGCTCCCCAATTTCATATACACACGTGTGTGCACTTACGTGAAGGTGTATGAGCAAGGGTGTGTGGGCATGTTGTATGTGAGTGGGGGATCTGAGCAGGGCTGCATGGGCATATGTGAGAGCTCAAATGCGTGTGCACATGTCTGTACATCCCAGTGCACGGGAATGGAGGGGGAAGGGAGCACTGGCATTTGCAGGTATATGTTCAGGTACACATGCTGCTATGGTCCTTGTGATGCCCACAGAAACTGAAGCTCAGGGAGGTGAATGGACTTGCTCAGAATCATACAACAAGCATGTCTGTGTGCCTGTGTGTACAGGTGTGTGTCTGTGCCTGGGTATGGGTGTGTGCAATGGGCAGGGGGGTGCTCCAACCCTGTAATAGACCCTCCCTGTCTCGCCAGGGCCTGGAGGAGCCGGTGGTAATGACTGTTTTGCACAACAGATCCACCTCATGTCACAGCCTGAAAATGTGCCTGGAGGCCAGTCTGACAGAGACCCCCATCCACCCACCCCC